TATTTGCCTCTTTGAAATTTATTTCGGGGGGCGGGTGCGAAACTGCAGAGAGCGAGAGAAAAAAGGAGGAAGGAAGTAAGAAAAGGAAATAAGGCTACTCTTAACATTTTCATGTGAATTTTGTTACGTTTTTAACTCATAAATAAGTGCGTGTGTGCGTGTGTGTGCGTGCGTGCGTGCGTGCGAACGCGTGCACATAATCGTTAATAATAATAATTTTATTATTATTATTATTAAAATAAACCAAAAAAAAAAAAAGAAAAGAAATTAATAAATAATAAAATGTAACGTTGGAAATCTGAAAATATGTTTAATTAAGGAATAGTAAAAAACTCTCTGACGTCAGGGTCGGATGGATTCACGTCATACGATCGATTTTTAAAAGAAAAAATTAATTAATTATTTATTCATTTATTTTATATAATAACAATAATAATAATAATAATTAATAATTTTTGAAATGACGTCAGAGAGAATATTTAATTGACGGTAGATTAATCGTTTTACTATTATTAATAGACAAAATAAATTCCGACGTGTAAATAATTTTATATTTTAAAACCAAAAATGAATTTTGTATAATGTACGTGCATAATTATTATTATTATTAACCCCCCCCCCCCAATTCTGCAGTTGGTGCGGAAAATTTTCATTCGAAAGAATTTTTAAGTAAATTGTTCAAAAAGAAAATGATGATTATGAAAAATTACACGATGGGAAAACAAACCATCAGAAAATTTGTTACGGTAACGATTATGTTTGTCGTTTGTTTATTTTTATCGTTTTTATTATTTGTTTGAAAACAACAACAACAACAACAACCACAACAACATCCGCATCAGGAACTGCATCAACATCAGAACAACCATCAACAGGAATATTCAAATCAACGACAACAACAAAGTGTTAACGATAAATTCCCGTACAATCCGACCCTGATCAAGTAGGAAAATTTTATTCTCTCTCTCTCTCTCTCTCTCTACAGTCAGAGTGTTGTTGCATTCCCTTTTTTCCTCCTTCCTTCGTCCTCTTTCTCTTTCGGTCCCTTTAACGCGCCCCCATTGGAAACGCCTTCTCTCCTTTCTCTCTCTCTCTCTTTCTCTCCCTCCCTCTTTCTCTCTCATAACAATAATGGACCATTTTAATTAAACTAAAGCTTTAGATTTCGACTTTTCCGTATCGTGCCTTTCCTTTTGTTCTTATTTAAATATATATATATATATATATTTTACCATCGGTTGAAATTATGTTTTCCTCCGATTTATTTCTTCGTTCCGACGAGAGGGTTTCTTTCTACTACGTTTAAGGGAAATTTGTTTTACATTTGCATAAAATAATAAAAACTATTATTATCATTATTATTACTATTATTATTATTATTATTATTATTATTGTCGTCGTCGTTTAATACTTTTTTTTTTTTTTTTTTTAATTTTAGGCGTGTGCGGATTTTAATTTAAAATTTGATAATTGATTTTTTTTTTTTTTTTTATCGAACCGAAAATAATTAATGGGCACGTTGCATATTGTTGCGGTGATTTAAATGTTATTATTATTATTATTATTATTATTATTATTATTATTATTTAGATAAAATGAAATAACGAATTAACGGAACAGAACGTTTCAAATTTTTTCTTCTTCCACGAAACTTTTGATCGTTTATTCCATTTTGTTGTCAGTTTCAAACGTTTACGTTTTATTTTAAATTTATAATTACATTTTATTGATTTATTTATTTTTTCTATTCCCACGTCACGAAGTAGTTTGTTACTCAATTAATTTTGGCGACGAAGATGGAATTTTTGTCGCCGTTACAAAAAACACCGTCGCGAAATTGGCGGGAATCGATCAAAATGCGAATGTTAATCGAATGTTTTTAATTTTTTAATTACAGATTTATCTGAATCTAAAGAATTCTAGAATCTTTGAGAACCTATTAAGAATAAATATACACAAAATAAGAAATCACAATTGGAAAATTACCGGAAATTACCATCGCTCATAACCGGAAATAAGAAAAACTGGAAAAACCTCCACATAAATATTTGTAAGTACCTTTTTATAATCCTAATCATCTTCATCATAATCATCATAATCATCATAATCATCATAATCATCATCATCATCATCGTCGTTAAAAAAATTAATAATTAGTGTTAAAAATTATTTACGCAACAATCAATCGATTAATTAATTCGATTAAAATATTAGAAAAATAATTAATTAATTAATTGGGGGGAAATTAAACGAGTGGAAAGGGGAGAGAGAGAGAGAGAGAGAGAGAGAGAGAGTCGGGTTTTTGTGATAAATACATATAATTCTTATAATGAATTTCAATTATAAATTAAAACGGCATAAAAATCGAAACTGAAAATCAATAATAATGATAATGCTAATGCTAATAATAATAATAATAATAATAATAATAATAATGAACAAAAACAACAACAACAACAACAACAATAATAAATCATAACGGGTGTTGGGAGAAATGTAAAATATAAGAACAATAACAAATGAATGATTGATGTTTGGATTACAACAAAAGCAGAAAAATAATGAAAGAGAATAATAATAATAATAATGTGTAATGGTGGAAGTAAATCTTTTTACTCGAAGTGGTTTTAAAATTGCACTCACGCACGCACGCACGCACACACACGCACAGTAGATTACCGATTTATTCGTACGTATGTGTTTGCGTTTGGGTTTGTGTAATAACGAATGTAAATCGATAAATTTCGATCGAAGTCGATGCGAACGGGGCGGACAAGAATATTTTCAAATTCGTAAATTTCCCTATAATAATAATAATAATAATAAATACTTGGGGGGTCGTTGATATTTGTACGTTTAAATAAAATATCGAAAAGTCGACATTTAAATAATATTCACATTTTTTTCTTCTTCTTCTGTTTATATATTCCAAAATTTTCTTATTCAAAATATGAAGAGAGAGAGGAGGGGAGAAGGGGAGGAAGGGAGAGGGGGTGAAAGAAAAAAAGAAAAAATTTTCGTTATGGCGTAGGGAGTTAAAAACTTTTTAGCAAGTCAAATGAAAAAAAAATCACCATATTTTCAAATATTTTAAAGTTTATTTAATGCTTTATTTAAAAACACACTTACACACGTGCGCGTACACGTATATACACACACACAAGTAAAAGGGAATAAGTTAAAAAAAAAAAAAAGGTGGTAAAGAGCGTAGTGAGAGGGAAATCAGTTGGGAAAAAAAAGAAGAAGAAGAGAAAGAAAGAAAGAAAGAAGGAAAGAAAGAAAGAAAATCGAAAGGAAATATAATATCGAGGGAAAAAACTTAAAAAAGTTCCATGCATTATTGAACATGGAAAATCCGTATAACGATCTAACGGAAAAGGCGAAAAAAAAAAAAAAGAAAAGAATATTGCTTTTCTTATATACATATATTATTATTATTATTTTTTCACATTCGTGCATTAAAACAAAATAAGAAAACGAAAGAAAGAAAAAAAGAAAAAAAGAAAATTTTCCATCGAACCCTTTTCAATTCTTTACAACATCATCATCATCATTATTATTTTTAATTGAAAAGAAAAAAGAAAAAGGAAAAGTCAAGTTTCGCTTTAATGATTGAACAAACAAATTCGTTTCGTTCAAACATTTAATTTTTTATATAATAAATAAATTTCAAAGTCGAATCTCTCTAGCTCTCTCTCTCTCTCTCTCTCTCTCTCTCTCTCTCTCTCTCTCTTTCTCTCTTCTTACTATTATTATTATTATTATACTTATTATTATTATTATTATTATTATTATTATTATTATTATTATTATTATTAAATTCGCGTGAAAATGGTCGATTCGGTTTTTAATTTTTTTCGGTTGTCAATTTTTTTTTTTTTCGCGCCATTTTTTTAAATCATTCAAAACGATGAGATTCGAATGGGAAATGAATGAATGAATGAATGATAATAATAATAATATGCCATTGTAAAAATATTTATAACTTTCCGACGGGTTATAAAAAATATAAAATATTAAAAAAAAAATAGATGGCGCGACAAAAGGATAGGAGGGAAACAAACGAACAAACAAACAAACAAATAAATAAATTATACGATTTTTTTTTTTTTTACGTACACATAAAATTTTATTAAAATTGCACATTGACTATATATATATATATATATATAAATAATTAATTTTTTCTAATTACATGATTTATCATTATTATTATTATTATAAATTTTTTTTTTAAATTTCCCCAAATAATAATAATAATAATAACTTATTGAATTTTAAATATCTCCTACAATAGCTAGAAAATTCTTTGGCTGTCATTTTCTTAATTTTTTTTCCATCTAAAATTTATTTAAAATCATATACATACAAACAAATATTTATATATTATGTACATAACTTTATTTATTTATTTATTAATATTTTTAAAATAATTATTATTATTATTATTATTTTGAAATAAGAATTGAGCACAATTTTTTGTAGTTAAATTAAGTCTTATCCATTCACGATCGTTAATTATTATAACGAATTTTTCATAGAGATGTCGTAAAACGTCACACTTGTGTTACGTCACGTTTTTTTTTTACTCTATGTAATTTTTCTTTTAAATTTCTAACACCGGATAAAAAAAAAAAATTAATTAAATCTACGATTAATTTAAAAGTTTTTTTTTTTTTTTTATAAAAGCAAATCGCGAAATGATAAAATTTTTTTGTTAAATTTCTGTCGCGAACCTTTTTTTGTTTTCGAAAAGGTCACGTCAAAGGTTGTTGGTTTGATGTTTAATGGCCGTCGCTAAAGGTTAATGAAAGACTTTAAGTGATGCGATAAATTTAATTATTCGGAGTACATCTATCACTTTGATTAATGGGACTCAAACTACTACTATCAGAACTTTGTTTGTTATTGTTGTTGTTGTTATTGGTATTATTATTATTATTATTATTGATTGGGATTCTACTGTTCAATTGATTCAATGTAGAATCCCAAATTTCGTCTCAGACGTTTCGATCAATCGTTGCGTATTGGCACGCAGAAAGTCCCGTACTGCTCGGACGGGTCGTCACTGGAGAATATGTACCGAAACTGGAAGAAACCGAATGTTGTTTCGCTTTGAGTCGTAGCGATGCTATACTCGTAGTCATTGCGTGATTGGGCAAATCTGCCGAAGCTCGATACATCGAATATGGATTCGTGGGTGGACCGTACGGACAAGCCGGACTCGGAGTTGTATTACTTCCGGTCATGCCACCCGGAAGCATCGAACCCGTCGACATGCCGGCAGCCGCAGCAACCGACACTGATGTGGCCGTATTGAAACAATTCACTCCTGAATAACGATAATAATAATAATAATAATAATGTATTGGAAATGATAAATCACGTGATTTAAAAAAAAAAAAAAAAAAGAAAAATAGGATCGTTACCGGAAATAAAATCGCACACAAGATTTAAAAAAAAAAAAATTATAAAAAAAACGTAATACGTACATAATACATACCTACTCCAGTCTGATGATGGTTAGTAGGTACTACACTAGTCAAATGATTTACCGACCATGGAAAAGTTTTAGTACCGAGAGGACTGGGTACTTTAGCAGCCCAATTATTATAAGTTGAATAACTCGAATATAAACTGTCCGTGTCGGTGAAGGGTTGCATTAAACCGTTAAACTGAGTACCGAAGCCATTTTTAAAATCTGCAGCAGCTGCAGCGGCCGCATTCATTGCATTCCTTTCTCTTTTACGCCATTTTGCGCGACGATTTTTAAACCAGACCTATGGATTTACCAAAAAAAAAAAAAAGGACAACAAAAAAAAAATTAATTTTTTAACGCGAAAATGGAAATAAAAATTTTCCTTTGGTGACATCATTCAACACGTCACGCGTTTTTTTAATGAAAAAAACTCGATCCGATAAAAATTAAATTACGTTTTTTTTTGTATTTGAAAAATTTAACTTTTGTCGTAAAAATGCACATGTGCATCATCATCATCATCATCGTATTTCCTTTGTTTAAAGTCCACGGTTTTGACAAAGGAAAATAAAAAAAAGGGAAAATATTTGAAGGCTTTCGGGCGCGGGAACATAGAGATCAATTATGCTGTTTGTGTGAAAGTCGATAGATATAAACGTATACGATTAACCGTCTCAAATAGGAAATAGAAAAAAAAAAAAAAAAAAAAATATACAATTACAGGGTTGAAATCCTATTATAAACGTATCCAATCAAATAAAGCTCTCATCCCCCGCTCCTACCCACCCCCCGGTTTAGTTTTGTCAATATTACGAGATTATAGTGTGTTATATTGGGGTGAGTGGGTGGATGGGTTTAACACAAGGGGTAGTAGTAAATATGCATTTAGATTCCACTGGTCACGTGCATAGAATTTTACATTTTCTTTTTGTTTTTTTTTAATTAAATTTAAATTTAAAATCTTTTTTTTTTTTTTCATTCTAATAAGAAAGTGAAAAAAGGAAACGGAAACGGAAAAGGAAAAGGAAAAAGGAAAAATGGAAAAATGAGGAGAAAAACATTAGGCGTTTACGGAGGGAATAATCAATGTTTAATAAACATAACGTATAAAATCTTTTTTTTTTTTTTTTTGTTTCTCGGGGTACGGTTATATTATTGAATGGGGTGGCAAATAAAGGGTGAACGAGGACGAGGGATGAAAAATAAAGCAACAATGACATTTATCTTGGGAGATGGTAATAACACGGATAAGTAAGGAGGAACGATCATGAACGTCGTCAATCTTCATTTCGAACCCGCAATTAGACGGGTCGTTGGCTACGAATATTTCCGATGACGATGTCGACGTCGACGTCGACGACAACGACGACGACGCTTCGAAAACAAAAATTAAATTCTGTCATCATTCATTCATTCATTCATTCATTCAACTTTTTATTTGTTTTGTAAAAAAATTTTCTAAAAGGAAAATTAACTTTTTGTCGCAAAAAAAAAAAAATCACGCGCGCGAGGGGGGGGGCGTAGGGGGCATCGAATCTATAAATTTTTCAATATCAATCCCCACGTGATATTTATTAATTAATTAAGTTTCTCTCTCTCTCTCTCTCTCTCTCTCTCATTATCATTCGATTTCATTAAATTTTTTTTTTTTTTTTGAACTTATTGATTTTTGATCGATTATCGATTCGAATCGATAGAATGCTGGGAATGACGTTTTGAATATATGAGAAGAAATTTTTTTTCATTTTCCATGTGAAAACATTTTAAAGGAAACGGGGGAAAATAGGGGGAGGAGAGGGAGGGGAGAGAAGAGAGGGGAGAGGGGAGAGGGAATAATATAAAATAAAAACGTTAAAGTTATAGCAGAAGACGTGAATTAATAATAATAAAAAAAAATTAAATCATCGTCTTCCGAATATATAGAATATACGTGAGCCAGCCACGACATCATAAATTACGTTTCTTTTCCCCTCCTTCCCTTTCCCTTTCCCCCTTCACCCCCTGTAAAATTTGACGAAAAGTTTTGCTGGAGCGAAGTTTTTGCTGAATCGTGACGCGAATAATTTTTTTTTTTTTTTTTTTTTTAAATTAAAATTAAAAAAATCATTAAAATCAAATCGTTTTCATCATACATAACATTGATAATAAATCAAATTTTTCTATAATAATTCCTGACTGACCCAAAAACTAAATAAAATATATATTTTTTTTATACCGTGCGAGTTTTAAGGGAGGAGGAAGAGGAAGAAGAAGGGTTGAAATTGTTGTAAATTACAAAAAAAAAAAAAAAAAAAAAAAAAAAGGGATGAAATGAAATATAAAGTCACCTGAAATGAAGTGAGTGTAATTTGTGCGGATTTTTTTATTTATATTTATTACTTTCGAACGTTTTGTTTTTCCGTTTTTCCATTTCTCTCTTCTTCGCGGTTGTTGTAAAAGAAATAAAATGTTTTTAAAAAAAAAAATAATAATAATTCGACTCGTTGCTTTATCGTCTTGTTGTGATGTTTTCGTCTTGTTGTTGTGTTTTCGTCTTGTATCAATAACATCGTCGTATCGAATCGGAAATAAATAAACGGGAAAATTTTTTTTTTTGTTTACTTCACGTACGTACGCACGCTCAATCACGCATTCTGGAAAAATTTAACCATGAAAATGGAAAATTTTGTTGGGAAAATTTAAAAAAAAAAAAAAAAAAATGGAGAAAATTTTTCCCATAAAAAAAAAAATGAAAATAACAAATTGTTTTCGAAAGGATTTAATAAATATTAATATATTTTTTTTAAAAAATATGAAAAATTTTCTTTAGGATTTGTTAAAGAGATTTTCAAAAGCGTATATAACAGTCTAGACTTTTGTTCTATTCTATTAAATAAATAAATAAATTTTTTTCGTCTGGTCGAAATGCTTTCGAATAATAATAATAATGATAATGATGATGCTTTATGAAAAATTTAAATTTAATGCAAATAATTCGCTCTTGAATTTTTTTTTTTTTTTTTTTGCTTTCATCTCGCGGGTTGAAAATAAATATAAATAAATTAATTAATAATTAATGCGATAAGGATAAATAATATTTTATTATAATAATTAATTAATTAATAATTAAATCCGTTTCGATTTATTATTAACGACGACGACGACGACAGATTAATGACGTCACAATGGGAAAAACAAAAATTTTTTTTGTTTTTTTTTTTTTATTTACGGTATATAAAAAAAAAAAAAAATAAATAAATAAAACAGATTTGAAAAGCAGACGACGATATTAACGTCGAAATAAAATATATGTATATTATTTTTAATATTATTGACATAAATTTGATGAATGACAGACGGAAATAAGTTTTTGACAGAGATTTACAACAGATAATCATCATCATCATCATCATCATCATCATCATCATCATTGTTTTTTTTCCTCATTTTAACGGAATCGAATGAGAGTGTGCGTGCGTGCGTGTGTGCGCGTGTGTGAGTGTGGTTTAAGTAAAAGTCAAGAAAACTGTTATTTCTTTGTTCCCTCCGAGTCAAAAGTTTCCATGGCAACCGGAAGACCATCTTTAAATACTTTGAAATGTTAAGAAGAACGAGTGGTGGTGATGGTGGTGGGGGTGGTAATGGTGGTGGATGGACGATGAAAGAATATTTTCATTATTTTATTAAAGGAAAGTTTTCTTTTTTTTTTTTTCTTCGACGGGAAAATGGCGGAGTCGCGATTGTTTTATATATCAAAGCAAGAAAAAAAAAATTTTCCTTTTGAAAAAATCTCCTTTTACAGTCCTTTCCTCGAGAGAGAGAGAGAGAGAGAGAGAGAGAGAGAGAGAGAGAGAAAGCAAACAAGGTTGCGTGGTATTAAGCTACGATGATGAAACAAAAGTTTAGGATCCGAACGAACGAACGAACGAACCCATTCTGTGCCTGGTGTGTCCTACTGGAGAATATGAAGTTAATAATCACATGTCAACGCTTTGTTAATCCCCGCCATGATTAAAGCTATAAATCTATCCGAGGATTACCTTCTCTGGTCGCTTGTGCAAACATTCACTCTGGTTCCAAGATGATGATGATGATGATGATTTAATGTCCGCTAACGCAAACATGTCCAACATTAAATAGATTTCTCTATCTTGTCTCCATCGATAAAAAAAAAATAATGGCGAATCTATACGTATCGTCTGCTTTTGTAAAAATCAATCCGTTTTATTATTATTATTTTTTGTTTCGTTAACTACATCCCCACCCTTCCACCCCCCCAAAAAAAATATTAAAAAAAATTACATTAAAAATGATAAAAATAAAATTTTCAGGTATCGAATGAATAATCGAAGAAGAAAAAAAAATTTCGAGAGTCGAATGAAATTGTTTCGATCGATATTCGATTCGTCCGTTTGTCGTCTGCTTGTCGTCTGTTTGTTCAGGAAACAACAGGAAACAACAACTAAAACGTGAGTTTATATTTTTTTTAAAAATTTATTTATTTCGAAAACGATTATGGGAGCAAATGAGAAACGACGACCGACAATTTTTTTTTTTTTTTTTTTAAAGTAAAAATGAAAATTTTTCTAAAAGGTAAAATATTCAAGCCATAATTTATATTTTAATCTCGGTTAGAAATAACAAAAGTAATTAATTTAAAAATTATATAAATTATAAAAAAAAGTTTTCCTTATTTTGTGCTCCTGATAATAATATTGCTGGCGTGGCAGGCACATTGGAAATAAAATCGAAGCCATTTTGTCTCGTTTCTTTTGCTAAATAATCGTTTTCGAAAAAAAAAGAAAAAAAAACGAAGAGAGAGAGAGAGTGAGTGAGATAGAGAGAGAAAGAGAAAGAAAGAGAAAGAAAAAAACTCGCAGACCGTATTTAATCACTAAGAAAAAAATCCCAGCAGCATCCCAAGGGAGCCCTGAGCTGAGGTTTCCTACCGTCGTAAACCGGAATCTAAAACCCTTGATGTGAACTTATTTTTTTTTTTATATTATTATTATTATTATTATTATTTATTTTAAATCGTTTTTTTTTTCTTTTCTACTGCGTTTCCACCCCCACCCCGCGCCCCCCCACGTCATTTTCTTGACCGCGCGTAATTATTTATAAATTTTATGTACCAAAAAAAAAAAAAAAAAAATTACGTTATGAGGTTCGGGGTTATCTTTTAAATTTTTTTGTTTTTCCAACGTGGAAATAATAACGTGGAAATAGATTCGCATCGTGACACGACGTTTCCGAACACAAATATGTGAAATAAACAAATCGTTCGAATCGAATTTTTTTTCGTAAATGACCGATAATGACAAAACATGGGGAGAGAGGAAAAAAAAAAACAAACGGGGATCGTTCGAAACGAAAATGAAAACGTGTAAATATTTACATTGAAAAAGGGAGGGCAGGGGGGCAGGGGGGCGGGCTCGTAACGAAACCGCAATTGAAAATGCAGAAAAAACCGGAAATTATTATTATTATTATTATTATTGTTTTGTTCACGTGGAAATATTTAATTTACTTACCCTAACTCTGGCTTCTGTTAGGTTTGTCCACATGGCTATTTCTTCTCTCGTACTCATGTCGGGATATCTGTTACGTGCAAAAGTTGCTTCTAACTCTTGTAGTTGTTGACTAGTGAAATGTGTTCGTTGCCTACGTTGCCTTTTGCTTTTTTTACCATCTTTTTCGTCTGTCGTTTCCGGTGTTTCCACGCTTTCCGTTTTTATCGAACTGATGTTGGGTGTACCGGTCGATGATGTGTGATGATGATGGTGATGATGATCCGTCGTAAGAATTCTACCGGTTCCCACTTTTTAAAAAAAAAAAAAACAAATAAATCATTGTAGATTAGAGAGAGAGAGAGAGAGAGAGAGGGAATAGACAAAGCGGATAGAATATAAATTCGAGAAAAAAAAAAAAAAAAACATAAATAAATTAATTTATTAATAAAAAAAAAAAAAAAAGAGTAATAAAAAATATTGAAGATGAGATGGGTAATAAAAAAAAAAAAAAAAAAAAAAATTGTAAATTTCATCCGTTTGATAATCTCTTAGAATTTTCTAGAACAAAAAAAAAAAAAAAAACAAAAAAAAATTTTTTTTTTTTTTTTTTTTGGCTTATACACGTTCGATGACTCCGGTAATAATTTTTGAAATTTGTCACGGTAATAAATTGGTAATAAAAAAAAATTTTTATAGTAAATAAATTTATTAAGAAGGTCAATACCCAATAAGATTTAAAAAAAAAAAAAAAAATTATTAGTCGCTATCGAGTTTGTTTGTGTGTTTGTTTGAAAAGTTGGCGGCAGTGGTTGATGATGATGACGTATAATTTTTCGAAAAGTAACAAACGACACTCGAAATGTGTTTTTTTTAGATCCTACGAGAAAATGTTTACGAAAAAAAAAAAATGTAGTGCACTCCAGACGATATCTGTCGGGAGGGGAGAGGAAAGGGTAGGAAAGGGGAGAGGGAGGAGGGGTTTTATTTTCATTTGAAATCCCAAAAAAAAAATCCATACCATAACGCAAAAGGTTTTATGAACAAGAGCTTCTCCTAACTAGACCCCCAAGAGCAGAATAGGTTTCGTATAAGGGGAAAAAAAAAGAGGAAAAATTCACGTAGAAAAAAAAAAAGAGAAAAATTTGTAAAAACGTAAGAAGAAATTGAGCGTCCGGGGTTAACTTATTTAAAAACCGGTTTAATTTAAAAACAAAGTACAAAAATTTTTTAAGTGAAATTTAAAATGATAGGTCGCGCCGTTACCTTTGAAATAATTTTGTCGTTCAGTTTAATTTTAAAATATGTTAAAGATTTTCGGATTTGCAATAAGCCAGGAAAACAACCCTGGAAATCCTTTCTTATATATTTTGTTAGGAAAGTTATAAAAAAAAAAAATCAAAAACAAAAAAAAAAAAAAAAGAAAATAGAGAAAACGCGGTTAGAACATTTTCATTTCTCTTGGGAAATTTCAATTTGTTCATTTATTATTATTATAAAAAAAAAAAAAAAGAGAAAAAACGAAACAAAACAAAACAAAAAATGGGAAAATGGAAAAATGAAAAAAAAAGAAAAGAAAGGAAAACTCCATTACAAACTCAAATGGAGCATAAAACTCCAGCATTATGGCCAATTCAATCCGTAAGCACCGGTTGTAGTTCATTAAAATAAAAAATTATGTCGATTTAAAATTGTGTATTTATTATTATTATTATTATTATTATTATTATTATTATTATTATTATTGTCATCATCATCATCATCATCATCATCATCATTTTTCTTTTTTTTTTTTTTTTTTTTTTTTTTTTTAATGACTTGAAATTTTGTCACGAGTAAAATGATAACGATGATTATAACGATTTGGAAAATTATTATAGGCTTTTTCGAAAGAAAAAAAAAAAAAAAAACGACTTCCGGTTTTTTTTTTCGTGTCACCAGTTAAAATGATTTCGATTCGTCGTGGAATTAAAAAAATTTATTTTTCGATACTTTTCAAAAGGGTGTTTGTTTTTTCTTTTTTTGGTTGTACGTTCAAATGTTGTTGAGTTATCCGTTTTTCGACTGAAAGTTTATATCGAGCCGAGGTCAATAAAAGGTCATTTGATTGAGGGGGAGGAGGAGGAGGTGGAGTAGGAGAAGGTGGTAGGAGGAAAGGTTAAATTTTCATTGCATTTCGATTGGATTAAAAATAAAATTAGGGGAAAAAGAAAAAAATTTTTTTTTTTTAACGAATTTATTTTTTGTCACGTTCGAACAAAACGGAAAATTTTTTTTCTTTTTTCTTTTCTTTGTATTTGTCTATATCTTTCTCTCTCTCTCTCTCTCTCCCTCTACCCTTCGTTAGAATTTGTTATTAATAAGATTAGTTAATGGAACTTTTTAGAAAAAAAAAAAAAAAAATTTTTAACGACAAAAATTACGCGACGGAAAAATCGTTAAGCAAATTTCTTTTCCCCCCCCCCCGTTCGTACAACTTTGTGTCGTTCGTGCCCCCCTCCCCCGGAAAAAAGGACAAACCTACCAAAAGGGTAACCTAAAAAAAAAAAAAATTTAATTTTCCTTCTTTTCTTTTGTTCTTTTATTAATAAGTCGTATCGTACGGACAGTATGACGTAATCTGTATACGAAAGAAAGTATTAAAGTAGTGTACGGGATTAATTTATTTACGTTTTATTTTTTATTAAAAAAAAAAAAAGAAAAACTGACGATGAAAATGCGTATCCGCCCCCGCGTCCGCCGCGTAATTAAAACGGAAGTTAAATAATAATAATAATAATACTACGGACGGAAATGAAAGAAATTGTCCGAGAGAGTTCACGCGTACTCGTACTCGTAGTAGTGCTCGTATTCAAATACTTATCAATATGACTTATCGTGTAATCGATAAGTTATCAATTTAATAAATTATTGATTGATTGGTTCGGCAATTCTTTATTTCGCATATCAAAAACATTTATATCTCGATATAACGCGATGTCGTGTAATTAGCCGTAATATGTCGATTCGCGATTTGATTGGTCGAAATAAAAAATTTAAAATAAATTTTGTAATAAATAAAATTCGGTTAAAAATTGTATCGTTTAATTTGTTTATGATAGACTGATAACGGTTCGTACTGATATCTCCTAATAATAAAATTTCAACGATAAAAACGAACGGGGGGAAGTCGGGGGAGGTCGGGAGAGTTGGGGAGGAGGGAGTTAGGGGAGTTGGGGGGAGCAGGAAAAAATCGAAATCGAATAAAGAAACCTCGAATTGACACACTAAAAAAAAAAAAATTTATCTTTTTGTTCGATACGTTGTTGGTTTTTATCAATCAAATGCCGACCGACCGATACATCATTTTATATCTGACATCGGCTTTTCTTTTAGTTAAATTTAAAAAGGAAAAGAAAATAAAAACATATGTATTTTTTTTTTTTTTAAAATTATCTTTTGCCCCGTATTGTTACGGGGAAAAAAAAAAAAAAAAAACCGGGAATTTTGTCGTTTTTATAAAACGTTTTTTCGAATTCATTTCCGGTGCATTTTTTCCGGAAAATAAAATAAAACGTGGAAAAAATTTTTAGAGTTTTTTATTAGGTATCGAATGGGGGTGGGGAGAGAGAGAGAGAGAGAAAAGGCGGGGGAAAAACAAGAGATTTTTTTTTAAAGGGATGCTGGAAAAGATTCCGATGCGTATTGGAAAAAAAAAAAAAAAAAAAATGAAAGGAAGAAAACCTTTTGCGTGTTTGTTTTTTCACATCCTTTTTCAAAATCGTAAATAATAAAAAAAAAAAAAAAAAAAAAAAAAAAGAAAAATGTAAATAAAATAATAATAAGTGTTTTTTTAAGGGGTCGTGAGGTCGGAGGGGGAAAAGGGGGGGAGGGGAAGGGAGAGGTAAGATGAGATGAAAAAATTCGTATTGGAAAACATGAGTAAAAAAATCCATCATATAAAAAACCTCATAAAAATGTGTCACGTTTACAAACAAAAAAAATTCCTTTTTTTTTTTTTTTTTTTTTTTTTTTTTTTTCTTATTTCGAACAACGTGTAAAATTTTCATTTTCCCAACTGTGTGAAAAACAAACAAACAACAAACAAAAAGGATAAGGTACGAAATTTGTTTTCTTTCCTTTCCTTTTTTTTTCGTCACGGTGAAATTATAAAAAGGGTTTCAACAATGATTCTGGGTGGGAGGAAAATACCGTGACGGAATTTCTGATTTCTATATGTGATAGAGAGAGAGAGAGAGAGAAAGAGAGAAAGAAAGAGAAAGAGAGAGAAAGAGAGATTTAGAGTGAATCAGTCGTTGTTGTTGTTGGGATAGGGAGTCGTTAGGAGCAGGTTGTCAGGGAGTCGTTATGAGTGCGTTGTTAGGGAGTCAGGATTGATTGTACGTAGGAGCGAAATAAGGAAGGAACGATGGTAAAAAATCACAACGGAAGAAGAAGAAGAAGAAGAAAAGTCATAGAATATCAACACGCTCGATCACGTGATCAGGAACACACACACATACAGGAGGACAGTAAATCGCAAGACGTAACCCGATTGAAATATACGTCATAATGGGAAAAACAACATGGCGAGGAACAAGGACAGAAAAACAAAACGGAAATGAATGTATAGCGCTAAAAGTCGTGGAACAAACGATCAATTTTCGGGGAAGTAGAAAGAAAGAAAACATAGTAGAAGAAATCGACGTGGAATTATCTAAACCATCGTTTTTTCAGAATGAAAACCGTTAGGAATCGAATAAAAACCCGGAATGATTGTTGAAAAAAACGGGAAATGATATAATAATAATAATAATAATAATTAAAAAATTTATTTCTGGGGGAAAAATGAGGGGCACCCGTCGATAGTTGGCCACATAAAAATTTTTAACGGCTTAAAAAATTTGCCAAAAAAAAATCGATAAATTTTTTATTATCGAAGGTTAGTTAGTAAATGCATAAAAAATAATATAATAATAATAATAATTTGATTATGCATTTTCCCGAACGTCTATATAAATATTTATACGTTTTTATTTATTTATTTATTTTATTGTAAATTTTCTTTTTTTTATTTTATGTACATAAATCAGGGTGAGGGATTTTCTTTTTATTTATTTTTTAATTTTTGGCAAAAAAAAAAAAACGGAAAAAATTTACGATGAGTGATCGAAAAAAAAAAAAACCGCGAAGGACGAAAAAAATCGAATTTTTATTACTATTATAACCATTAATTTTTGATTTTTTTAAAATGATTTGTTTGCTCGTTTGTTCCTCGTTTGTTTGTTTGTTTGTTTGTCGGGATTTTTTCGGTTAAATAATTTTTATAATTTTATGTGTATTTTTTTTTTCCTACTCGATGTCGTTAGGGTTAAACGAAACGATTTTTTTTAGAGGGGAGGGGAGGGGTTTTCGTAATCGTTTGTCGACAAACAAACAAACGAACAAACAAACGGCAAAAATTTGAAAAAAAACTCACGCTTACGATGATCTCTCGATCTCGGTCTCGTTGCGAATGGAATTTGAGAATGTTCCATGACTCCCATCGTATGTGTATTATCTCTAAAATCTCCAGTTTCCGACCAAACTAAATGAAAAAAAAAAAACAATAATAATAATAATAATTATATTAAAATATGTTTGACAAATGGGAGAGAGAGAGAGAGGGGGGGAGAAAGAGAGAAAGTAAATTAAAATTTGATTGATTTTCGGTAATTTGATAGAAGCATTGAATTTTTAATAATGTTTAAATCATGATTTTTTTTTATTGGATTGATTGATTTTTTAATTCTCGTTTTATTTAATTATAAGGGATAGAAAGAGAAAGAGAGAGAGTGGGAGAGAGAAAGAGAGAGAGAGGAAAAGGAAAAACTTTTTTTTTTTTTTTTTCATAACGTGAAAACCATTTAAAAAAGGAAAGAAATGCGGTTTGAAAATCGATTGACACGAGCCTAACATTTCTAAGACTACGTATATATATATATTAAAAGGCTCAAATTTGATCCGAGGATCAAATCTTGCTGTGCCAACCCGGAGATCTCTGGAGTTTCTCCAGTTAATGAATCATCCGATTTTCGACACGCTTCCTTTTATTTTTATTTTTTTCCTTTGTTTTAATTTTTTTCCATTGAATTAAAATTTCACCGATTTGATTTGAAACGGACACAATTTTATTTCGTATAGTTTTAATTATTAACTTCCGTTTTTAAACTTTTCATTTCCGGTATAAATTTTATAAGGAAAATTCCAGCCGGTGGCTCCAGTAAAAAAAAAAAAAAATTAAATTCGTTTGAATGAAAATTCGATGATAACTTATCAACCGGAAAATGAATTTTCTTTTTTTTTACTTAAAATTTTTTTTTTTTCATTTTCACGAAATAATAATAATAATAATAATAATAATAATAATAATAATAATAATAATAATAATAATGAAATGAAAATAGATTCGATGACCTCAGAAAATTCATGGATCGTTAAGCTCTTTTGGAAAAAAAAAAAAAAAAAAAAAAGTTATTTCAATGTGGAATTAAAAGAGATGGAAGAAAAGTCTAAAAGGGTTGAAAATTACTTTTCCGCAAATCTTTAATAATAATAATAATAATAATAATACAAGTGACAAATGAGACTCGTAAGGTTTCCTATTAAACATATACACCCTTAGTAGTTTCGGCCCCAAAAGGCTCGTTCTCTATTATAGGATTTGTGTGGTGTCGAGATTGAGAAAAAGAATGAAAGTGGTGAGAGACCATGGAGGTGTCGGTGATATCTTGTCATCTACCACCATAGCAGATGGCACTAATTTTCTTCCCCAAATATCAACAAAAAAACCCACCCTTAATTTTTCTATGAATAATATTTGCAAATAAATAAAAATAAATTTCCCTCCCCATTTCCCCCCTCTCTCACTCTCTCTCTCTCTCTCTCTCTCACTTTTTTTTTTTTTTGGGTTGTTTGTCCGTATGTTAAACGATATTACTATTTCTACCGGAGGGGGAAGGGGGAGGGGAGGGAATTCGTTTAAATGATAAAAGATTCGAACGGGGGGAAAGGGAAGATGGAGAAGAGGGGGAAGAGGAGGGAGAGGGAAATGATTTAATGCCATATCGGTTATTTCATTATTAAATTAATGAATAAAATTTAAATTTTTTTTTTCCCGTTTTCGTTTTTATAGCTGACCGGTATCGTTGTTTTTTTTTTTTGGGGGGGAGGGGGGAGGAAGAGTTATTTTATTAAAAATGACACGAATCATTTGAATTATTATTTATGTTTTCCGTTCGCCCTTTTTTGCCAGTTTAAAAAAAAAAAAATTCGTCTTCGGTAGTAGTAGTGGCAGTAGTGACAGTGGTAGTAGTTGTAGTGGTAGTAGTGGTCGTGGCAGGAGTAAAAATCTTTCCGGTAGTAAAATATTTTTTTTTTCTCCATCATCATCATCGTCATCATCATCGTCAAGAGGAACGAACCTCTTCTCTCGAATGATTTCATCTCATTTTAATGTTGTAATTTATTAACCTATAAAAATCTCACTTAACGCTTCGTTTACTTTTTATTAGCGTCATATCATTCATTAATATAATAATAATAATAATAATAATAAGTAAATAAAAAAATTTGAATCACCAACAAAATGATACACGTATGATTTTTTTATATTTAAAAAAAAAAAAATTGCTAATTGTTCCCAAAAGAGTTTTTTTGTTTTTTTTTAATGGAATTTTCTTACGTGTCAAACGGGGAGGGGGAAGGGGGAGGGAAACGTGAAAAGAGATGTTGTTGGTTGTTTTACTGTTTGTTCTAATCGTGGTAGTACTGTTTCGTGTAAGCAATGTTTGATATTAAATGTTTGTGATTATTTCTATATTTTCCGATTTTGTTTTATGTTTGTTGTTTGTATTGATTGCTTAACCGTTTGTTGTAATTGTACGTTTGTTTGTTGTTTGTATTGATTGCTTTGTTGTTATTGTACGTTTGTTTGATATTAGTACTGACTTGCTACAAGCCGTTTGTTGTAATTGTACGTTTGTTTTATATTAGCACTGATTGCTTAATTGTTTGTTGTAATTATACGTTTGCTTGATGTTTGTACTGATTGTTTAACTGTTTGTTGTAATTGTTCGACTGTTTGATATCAGTACTGATTGCTTTAACGTTTGCTATAAGCCGTTTGTTCGTAATTGTACGTTTGTTCGATATTAGCATTAAATGCTTAACTGTTGGTTGTAATTGTACGGTTGCTTGATGTTAGTACTGATTGTTTAACCGTCTGCTACTAGCCGTTTGTTGCAATTGTACGTTTGTTTCATATTGGCACCGTTTGTTTCCTATTGCTTTACTGTTTCGTTTGAAAACTAATCGTTGTTTTGTTATATACTTTTTGACACACTTGATTGTTGTGCTGTTTACTGTTTTTTACAATCGTTTGTTCGGTTGTTTGTTGTATCTATCGGTTGTTGCAAAATTCCTATTTATTTTTTTTTATTGCAACGAATCGAATTTTTTCTCTCGTGCGAAACGTTATTTTTTTTTTTTTTAAATTACTAAAAAGGAAACAAATTTTGGGATTACTCGCGCCAAAACTAACCACAATAATAATAATAATAATATTAATAATAATAATAATAATAATAATAATAATAATAATAATAATATTTTTGAAAAAAAAAAAACGTTAAACGTAAGGGAAAAAGAAGGGAGAAAATTTTTTTTTATATAACAAAGGATAAGTTGATTCTTCGATATTAAATAAAGTGACACGAAACGTTTTACGCTCCATCACCTTCTTCTGTTTAAAGGACGGTAAATTATTTTTTTCTTAACAAAAATTTTTATAATAATAATAATAATAATAATAATATTTTCTCCAGAATTATCCAGTAGGTGAGGGTGGGGGTGAGGGTAAGGGTGAAAAAAAAGTAAGAGAAAAAAAAATATATCGTGCGTAAATATCCGTCTGAAAATTTATATATATATTTTTTCTCTCTCTCTCTCTTCAAAATGATAAATTCAAACGTCATTCTTATTTTAAAAAATATATATATATATAATTTCGAGATGGCGGTGAAAACGTCGTAGAATTTTCTTTTTGAAAAAAAAAAGCAAAACCGGAAATGATTTGTATTTTTTAACCGCGAATCAGTCACGAGTAGTTAATGAAAATTTTCTAAAAGGTTTTTTAAAAATAATTATTGGATTTAGTCAAATTTAAAATAATACCGGAAACGGAAATAAATAAATTAATTTAATTTATTTAAAAAATTTAAACAAAAAAATCCCCCGAATTCGTTTGTACGGTTTTTTTTTTCGGAAATTTTTTTATTAAAAAAAAAAAAAAAAAAAAATTTGGGCAACTGATAGACCGAATAATCCCAGCATCCTTCTGATCCCGTAATAAATAACAAAATGAAGAAAAAAAAAAAAAAAAAAAAAAGTCATTCGTTGATTCCTTTTCTTAAACAAATTACTTCCTAAATGGCCGTTTATAGGTTTGTTAACAAGCTGTATTACATCTGTCAGAACATTTTTGACATTTGGGAACATTTTTAACACACCCAAAACGAACGAACAAACGAACAAACCAACTTTTATAACTTTATAATTTTTGTAAAAGAGAATTTTTTCAAAAAAAAAAAGTAATAAATAAGAGAGAGAGTGAGAGAGAGAAAGAAAGAGAGTGTGAAAGAGAGAGAGAGAATGAGAAAGAGAGAGAGAGAATGAGAAAGAGAGAGAGAGAGAGGAGGGTTATGGGTTTGTGTGTGAGTGCGCGCGTATTTAAAATTTTTTTAAAATTTGTAATTGCAAATAATTTTTATCGTCGCGAAATAAAAACGTGTCACGAAACGACGGGTGACGAACGAAAAAAAAAAAAAAAAAACTAAAACGTGGCGGCAGAAATAAAAAAAATTTTTTTTTTGGTGTCTTTTTGTAGTAGTAAGGTAATAGATAATAGTCGTTGTTGTCGTTACTACTCCTGTCGACGGTTGAAAGATGGAGGGGGAGAAGGAGGAGAAGGAGGAGGAGGAGGAAGGGAGAGGGTAGGAGGGCCATTTCGAAATATGAGAAAAAATGAAGAGTGTAACGTGACAGGTGGTAGCGCAATAACAAACGTGACAAATGTGACATAAACCTTTGAACGGTTCGAATTTTTTTTCTTTTTTTTTTTTTTTTCTCTCTATAAATAGACCAAGACGACGATTCGAAAAGATGATTTTTAAAAACGTGGAAGAGAATATTTGTGTCGAAAAAGAAAAAAAAAAAAAAAAAAATTTTTTTTTAATCGTATCGCGGAGGTCGCGACAGTTTTTTTTTTTGTTTTGGAAAGGCAAATGAATTCGCTCAAAAAAACGAGTGAATGAATGAATGAATGAATGGTAAAATTTCCCTTCGTGCATTATTCCAACAGTCTTGCCAACATGAGAATTGTTTTTTTAAATTAACTAACGATCGTTGGAAAAAAAAAAAAAAAAACGTGGAACTAACCAAAAAAAAAAAAAAATTTCAAGTTTGTCATTTCGCCTTTGTTTATCCCGACTTTGTTTTGTCGTATTTTGAAATATATCGTTTGTCGATCGGTTTAATTAAGTTTTCTTCTGCCACTATGACCCTCAATCCATTCAAATAAAATAAACTTATTTAAAAAATAATAATAATAATAATAATAATAATAATAATAATAATAATAATGAAATGATTGGAGTGACATAATCGTGACGATAAATTCAGTTGGGTAACAAATAGATAAATAATTATTGTCGGTCGATAAATTTCTTATCTGGATAAAAATTTATATGTGCGTGCGTGCGTGCGTGTGCGTGTGCGTGCGGGGGGTGCGTGAGTGCGCGTACGGTTTGCTTGACGAATATAGACAAATCAGAAAAATTAAATAGTTGAAACGAGTGAGTGTTTTGTAATGAAAAAAAAAAACAAAAAAAAAACGAGGGTCGTACAAACGCACGCACAGGGCGGAAAGCCGATTTAGTCTATAAGAATTCATTGAACTGGAAAATAGAGATCTCGTTTCATCCCTTATATAAACTTAAGTTAACTGAAAATTAATTTTTTTAAAAAAAAAAAAAAAAAAAAGGACTGGATAATTCGGGAGACCGTTGGAAAATTCCAAAAGATTTATTTAATATTTGTGTGGCTCCCTTTTTTTTTTCGTGACTCGAGGAAAATAAAAAGATAAAAAAACTTACCTCTCTTGAGTTTTTCAAGTGGTTCGTGACTTAATATAGGAACGTGGTGACCGACGCCAACGTGATGACCAACGTCGTGAAGGCCGTGATGATGGCCTAAAACGGCGGTTGTAGCCGCTGTGACGGCGCTCAATCCGGCAAGGGAATCGTGGGGCACATGATGGTGTGTCGTGTGGTTGATGACGTGCGACGTCACGGTTTCCGTATTATTATTATTATTATTATTATTATTAGTATTATTTTGATTGGTTTGTGACGTTGCGCTAACGCCCGAAACAAAATCTTGCAAGCACAAACTTTGTTCCGACAATGTTTCCATTCGATCCATCATTTTAAATTATTATTATTATTTAATATATATCTATTTCCGGTTGTTGTTGTTGTTGTTGTTTTCGATTTTGTTTACTATATATATCTATCCTTTTTTAAATATTGATCGATATTTGATTTCCCTTTTTCATTTTTCTCTCTCTCTCTCTCTCTCTCTCTATTTCTATTATTATTAATAAATTCTTTGTCGTCGTTGTTTTTCTTCCTGTAATACAATAACAAAACGTTAATACGACGTTTAAATTTGGTAAGGGGGAGGAGGGGGAAAAGGGTGGGAGCAAACGGTTTGCGAGTTATAAAAAAAAAAAATTCTTATCATCGACCAAAAAAAAAAAAAACAAAACAAAGTGAAACGAAAAAAGGGTAAAAAGAGTGAGAGAGAGAGAGAGAGAAAGAGAAAAAGGTACACAACTCACAAAGGATCATATTATCTGTAACATTTGACCGGTTTCGGGAGCAAAACGAAATCCATCGGACTAAAACTAAAGAACTTTAGTCTCCGTCTAAGCGGGTATAAGCCGAAAAAGCTCAACTTATAAGCTTTAAACAACCATAACAGTAAGCGTGGAGGATTTAGATTTAACCACTCGCTCGTTATATTATTGTTACGAGTTAAAAAACAATTTATTTATTTATTTATTTATTTATTTTATTTTTTTATTTTTTTATTTTTTTCGGGAGGATCCCCCCCCCTAATGCACTTTTACCGTTTTATTATTATTATTATTATTTAGTTAATTTTCGCGGGAAGGGGGAGTGGAGTGGGGTGTAATATTCTATATATGCACAACTAACTGTTAATTAATTTAAATCGTTATGGAAAAAATCACGAGCAAACGCACACACACATACGCGTTCGTTAAAGTTCTGGAAAACTGGAGAAAAATTAATAATAATAATAATAATTTTAAGGGAAAAGGAAGCGACGGGAGAAATTATAAAAAAAACGATGAATTTTCCTCTTTCTCTCTCTCTCTCTCATTTATTTTTTTTTCGTTCAAATAATTTAATACGTTTTGATTTCGTTTTTTTTTTTTTTTTTTTTTTCATTTTTTACCTTATCCAGATTTTTATTTATTTATTTATTAAAAGGTTAAAAAAAAAAATGGCTGGAAAAAATTATGGAGAGAGAGAAAAAAAAAAGGGGGAAAGGGGAGGTGGAAAATTTTTTTTTTTATAGGAAATAATTCAATTATTTCCTTTTTTTCCTTTTTTTTTTTTTATTACACGTGAAAATGTGTAAAAAGAAAAGTCGCAACCACTTTATATATATATTTAACACAATTTTTATTTTCGGTTGTTTGTTTGTTTGTTTGTTTGTTTTTAAAATTTTTCTTATTCTTCTTCCACGTTTTTTTAAAAAAAGATTTTAGGACACGATGATAGTTTTATAGTTACCCGTTTGTAATTTCCGGTCATTATTTTTTTAAAATTTCTATCTATCTCTTTCTCTCTCGAAAACGAACCTCTCCGTTTGTTTTACAAAAAATAATAATAATAATTTTGTTTGTTTGTTTGTCGTTTGTTACCTTTTTTGCTACGCGTAAAATTAAAAAAAAAAATTTTAATTGTTTGCCGTCGATCGGAAATAGATGAAAATAATATCGATTCGTTTGTGTACGATTGAGTACCCGTCGAATTTTTCGCGTGTATCTGCTACCATTTCCGTTTCCGAAAACGTTTTAATAATTATTATTTCCGTTTAAAAAAAAGAAAATTAATTTTTTTTCCGACTGGAAATTTTCCTGTTTTCTTCCAGCAGTTTTAAAAAAAAAAAAAAATCGTTTGTTCGTTAATTTCCACGCAAAGTTATTAAAAATATTCATTAATTTTGAAACTGCATTATTATTATTATTACTATTATTATTATCATCGTAATTACTAATTTTCCGTTTTGTATTTTTAAATAATAATGATAATAATATGTGAGACGGCCTCCACATTTTCCGGAAAATTTTTTTGATACTAACATTTACATTCGTGAATTTGTTTCTTAATCGGGTAGAAACCTGGAATAAAAATCCCGACAAATGAAATAATAATAATAATAGTAATAGTAATAATAGTAATAATAATAATAATAATAATAATAATAATAATAATAATAATAATAATAATAATAATAAACGCGTTTACAAAAAAAAAATATAGCGTCGGTGTTTTACGTTTTTTTTTTTTTTTTTTTTTTCGAATAAACCGTTAAAATAAACGTTTTTATTCTTTCCGACGGAAACTCTTACGTTTGTTATAGTAGCAAATTATATTTTTTATTATTATTGTCGTTTGTCGTTTGTCGTTGTCGTTTGCCGTTTGTCGTCGTCGTCGTCGTCGTTCTCGTTTTGCGTTAATAACAATTTAATAAAAAAAAATAAAAAAAGACGTTTTGTCAATTTGTTTTAAGGTGGAGAAAAAAACAATTTTTTTTTATTATTTTAAATAGTTTAAATTAATTATTATTATTATTATTATTATTTAGTTAACGCCCATCATCATCATCATCATCATCATCATCATCATCCTTGATGAATTCTGATAAGGAAAAAAATTTATATATATATATAAATAATTTTTTGGGGCGCCAACCGAGTTTTTTTTTTTTTTTTTTATAACGCATTTTTTATTTTCTGCTTACACGTCGTCACTTTTAAAATTTTCTAATCGAACTCGTATAAAAATTAATAATAATAATAATAATAATAATAATATTATCACGGTTTTTTTTTTTTTTGTATTTAAAAACCATCGTACGTTAGGTATTCAGGTATTTTATAACCCGTGTGCCTGAAAAAAAAAAAATTTTTTTTCCTCATCGTCGTTGTCGTTAAATATTTAACATCGTGTAAACATTTTTGTAGTAGATAAGCAAATAAATAAATAAATAAATAAATAAAGTTTAAAAAAAAAAAAAATGGAGGCCTCGGTTTCGGTTGAACAAAACAAATTTTTGTTCTTTTGTTACCTGAACGGATAAAATTCAAACCTGGGGGGAGGGAGAGGGGGACAACAAAAAAAACGGGACGAACCTTATTTCGTTAATAAATCCGTCGTGTGTGGAAAATCGAATTAAATTCGATACTCGATCGAGAACGATTATTAATTCAAAGTAGCACTTCCGGTTATATTCACCTCTTTGGTTTGTTTCAATGAAAATCCTCGTATGATTTTTTCTTCATTTTTTTCTTACGTCATTCACCGGAAATACTTTAAAATGTTTCTAATTACTTTGTAGTTAATTAAATTAAAAAAATTTTCACAATCAATCAATCAATCACAATTCACATTGCACTTTACGTAAAATAATAATAATAATAATAATAATATTACATCGATTGAAAAAATTATAGTTAGTTAAAATAAATTTCGTACGGGTGACAATAATAATAATAATAATAATAATTTTTTAATATGAAAACGGTATCATTTTTTTTTGGTGTCTAATCGCGGGATTAAACTAAGCGGAAAGGTAAATAGAATTGTCCAGCTAAGTAGAGGAAATCCCGAAATACTTTTAAAATACCTCGAAAAGACTTAGAGATTTACTAGTAATCTCCACGACTACCAAACACGATTTAAGAGCTAAATCATGGGCTCAATATATCATCCTTACCCTTCTTCCAATGGGTTTCTGCTGCTCCTCTTTCGTCCATCTCTTGCATCCCGTTTTTCTCTCTCTCTCTCTCTCGCACTCTCGCACTCTCTCGCTCACTCTCTCTCTCTCTCTCTCGCTCACTTTTTCTAGCGCATACGTTCATCCCTATTTACACTCCGTCTATTCTGTCTTTTACAACGGAGTTTTTCCATCTCTCTTTCTCACTCTTACGATTGCATGCGCCTTTCCTTCTTTTTTTTTTTTGTCTTTCTTTCTTTCTTTCTTTCTATCATTAGACCCAGCCTTGTGTAATAAGTTTTTAGGGATGTCTTTCTCTTTCTCTTTTTTTTTTACACGTTTCCCTCGTGCATTTTCTTTTCTTCTATCTCTCTCTCTCTCACTGTAAATTTTTTTTTTTTTTTGTTTTGTTTGTCTTTGTTTTTATCATAGCCAATGCACGAGCTATTTGAAAATTGGAAGCCATTTTCTATCTTTTTTCTTATCTGTTTTTTTTTTTTTCTTTTTCCCGAGAAATGCGTGTGTGGATGCGTGCGCGCGCGGTTTTTCGTTTAATTTTTACATACGTGCCTAATAATTATCAAAATGCGTGTTGAAATCAAGAATCAATGATTTAAAAAAAAAAAAAAGAAAATGGAAAATTTTGGGAAAGTGGTAGGAAAAAATGGTTGGAAGATAATATTCGAAAACTGATTTACATCGTTCGACCTTTGCGGATTTAAAGGATTTTAACACAATGCACCCGAGTTGAAAATCTCTCTCTCTCTTTCTCTCTCTTTCTCTCTCTCCTCTCTCCCTCTCCCCCTCTCTCTCTCTCTCTCTCTTCACTACATCCAAATTCGAAATCGATGATGGGTCTAAAATGATTCTTTCGTTCAATTACCATCGTAATAATGATCTAATCGCAAACATAATTTAAAAACCTGTGACGCGATGCACATTCAAACTAATAATTTTATTACCGTGACGTCATAATCATCATCATTATTACATTTAATAAAATTATTAATACGACGAACGGGGCGTTAAATTCAACAAAGCGTTTAAAACAAGGTTAATAAAATTTTAATAAAAATTACTTAGACGAACACACACACATACATAATAATTATTATAAGCGATTAAATTGTTTTAATAATAATAATAATAATTAATTAATTAATTAATAACTGATGATAATAATAATAATAAATAATTTTTTTTTTGCAGGTGTTTTAATCATAATAATACTCACACGCGTACAATTGATTCCTGACTGTTTATATGAAGTTTTTCTTTTTTTAAACCTGTCGTTTTTCCACGTGTAATCCATATATAAACGGTGAGTAATAATTTATTTATTACTAATAATAATAATAATAATGATAATTTATTTATAAAAAAAAAATTCA